GCCCCTTTGCGGCCCTAAGCTCTTGACCTATCCCAAGATGCTCACCAAGCCCTTCACTCTTCTTCTGTCCTTCTATGCAGAATGGCACCTCTTCATAAGAAGAAACTCTGCGTAAAGAAACTTTTTATTAAAGGAACCTTTCTGTATGTAATGCTGCTTGGCCACAACTACATTAGCTGTTTAGTTCACGGACAGCTAAAATATGCATTCTTTTGTCTTATGAAATCTAAAGGTACGATACTCCATCATCACTTTCTCTGCAACCTATTAGAAGCTAGTGGGGAATCCAGACTAGCTGGTCACTTCTTTCTGGTGCATCAATTGGACATGGTTTCAAAGAGCCAGTTCATCTTGGAAAATAAGGTTCGGTCATTTAAAAACCTGTACTGACCTCATCTTCTATTTTTATGAATTCTCAGCACATTTTACTATGAGTAATCCTGCTTCCTGAATTTCAGCTGTACCAAAAGCTTGCCCGTTAGAAATAGAATGGCATTAAGCATTTTGAATGAATCAAATGAATGATTTGAATATGAATCATATTTTCTCTAGGGAAAATATGACACAGCTAATCTAGGACTCCACCTTGGGACCAGCATTTCCAACAGTCAGAAATATCTGCGAGCCACAAAATATAGTTATTACTTTGCCACCATGGTTCGTGCTCATTTAATAGTTCTGTTATTATGTAGTAGACATAACTTCTATATAGGTCTTCCATGCACTTTATCGTGAACCCCCATAAAATAACAATTACACTTAAAAAGCATTCACATTTGCAGGGGGCTGCCATGCAAGGACGTCAGGAACATCTGGGGGCAGCTGCCGGACTCGCAACTGGGCTTCCCTCACAGAGTTGCCACGTGTGAGAATAGGTGCCTCCAAACAGAGGCAATCCATGTGCTTGCTCACAGCTGGATTCCAGAAAGTGCTACCACAAAAGCCCTGTGTGTCCTTGCAGCACTCACACACGGAAGCTGCTTTAAACGTGAACTGGTTCACAGCATTTTTGGTGAACACCTCTAGCCTCTTAACTGAGTGTGAACCAACAAGCACGGAAGCAGCCTTAACAAATAGTCATGCTAATCTTTCTCTAAAAGCTGATTGTGAAAAACACCCCAAGCCTAGCCTACCTTCAAGTTCCTCATGAAAAAGAACAGTTTGTACAGAAAAAGCACTGAACCGTGTAGCACCTTAAAAATCAACAGTCTTATTATAGCCATTTTTTTCTGGACTAGACTTCACATTAGATGCATGAAGTGTGAGCTTCATTTGGCAGTGCATACATACATAGGTGTGGAAAAAAATGTAAACAATTTATAAAATGCAACGGGAACAATGAGTAATGTACAAACATGATTAAAGTTTTGGATCAGGCCAAAACTCCATCCAGTCCAGCACTCCGTAGACATGGTGGCAAGCCAGCTGCTCACAGGATCCCTCAGGGAGGATGGGTGCAAGACCACCTCCTGCCCAGCCCCTCAGCTACTGCTGTATGCAGGTGTGCCACCTCTGGTAAAGGAGATGGCACACGGATAGCAAGGCTAAGAGCCACTGACAGACACTGAATAGGTAAAAATTACTATACACAAACTGATCATTCATGGAGGCAGTAATGGGTTCTAACTTTGCTATTGTTGCCAATTGCAGCACCCCAAAACACCCCAAAAGTAGTTGGCCAGAGGAAGGCCACATAGCAAAAACACCACAGTTATACTGTCCCAGAAGGGTGGGCAGATAGGAACAAAATGAACTTTGTGTAACCCACAGCTAACACGCTAGCCTGACCTCGAATACGGTAATCAAAGGGGCGGTGGAAACTGGCTCTAGCCGCCATGAAAGTTGCAAATGTGCAGGGAGCAAGAACATGGCAAGCCTGTGTGAATCTCGAGCAGATAAGAAATAGACATGGGAAATGTCTGGTCCTTGACAGAAGAAAGGACTCTTTCTCCAGCACGGGAGGGGGTGCATACACTGATGTATCGATGTATTAGATGTGTATTAGGTGACCTAATTGGTTACCTAGGGTATAAAACGCATGTGCTGGGGTGCAACTTTCGAGACACTGCTTTGGGCTGAATGTCCCCTTCTGTCTCCCTTTATTAGAATAGAAGTACTATTCTAATAAAGGGAGACAGAAGGGGACATTCCCTTTACTAGAATAAAGCTGGCTTTGGCTCTAAGTCTCGTCTCAGGCTCCTTTTGGCTTGGGTCTGGGGTCCACCTGGGTTTGCCCTAGCTGTTGACTGGCTGAGTTTGGTAACACTATCCTATTTGTGACCTGTAGTTAAAGAAGAATCCATTGTCTCAGTCTAGCCCTAAATGAAAAAATAATTTTCTTTTGGTGTGGGGCATTATAATTTGACTGTTTCATGCTGGAATCTTCCTTTATCATTCCTTTTTTTGGAAAATGACAGCTTTCAGATGAGCATCATTGACCTGGGAGACTCAAATATTCTCCCTGATTTCTAAATATTTGCTGTTGTTATGGGCTGTCAAGTCATCTCTTACATATGGCAACCCTATGAATGAATGCCCAAACTGTCCAGCCCTTGGCAGCCCCGTTCAACTTTTATAAGCTCAACTCTATGGCTTTCTTCATAGACTCTACCCATTACCTAGCTGGACTTCCTCTTCTTCTTCTGCCGTTGAATTTCTTTAGTGTGATTGTTTTCTCCAGTGAGTCTTGCCTTCTCATGATTTGCCCAAAGTAGGACAGCTCTAGTTTTGTCATTTTTGCTTTCTGGGAAAATTCTGGCTCAATTTGCTCTAGGGCCTGTCTTTCAGTCAGTCCAAAGCTCACAAAGCTCTCCACCAGCAGCAGGGTTTAAACGCATCAGTTTTCTTCCTGTCAGCTTGTTTCCCAGCCCATCTTTCACATCCATACCCAGTGACTGAGAATGCAATAGTGTAGATGATTCTGGCCTTGGTCTCCAAGCTAAACGACCTTACACTAGTTCCTTCTTGATGCTCTTCCAGGTCTTCTTCTAATTTCTTGGTTGCACTTCCCCTTTGAATTGATGACTGAAGTATGCAAAAACTTTCACAATTTCACTGTCTTCATCCTGGCAGTAAAGTGCTGTAATTCTTTTGAAGTCAGGATTTTTGTGTTCTAATGTTCCACTGCAGTCCTGCTTTTGCACTTTCTTCCTTCATGTTCATTAGGAATCATTTCAATTCACTGCTGCTTTCTGCCAGTAATTCGGCGTTTTCTGCATATCTTAAATTAGTGAGGTTTCTTCTGCCAGTTTTCATGCCTTCCTCTGATCCTAATCCAGCTTTCCTTATGATATGTTCTGTGTACAGATTGTGTCCTCTTGTCCAGAGATCTGACCTGCCAGAAGGACTTTGTCAGCAGATGAGAGCACTGAACTGGTTGTGGGATGGAAAGGCGATCGAACATCTGGTGTGGGTAATTAGTATGCCTTGTACAAGGGTGTAATGGAGGAGGCCCCTGGGGGGATCAGAGCACCTCCACTTATTTTGGATGGAGCCCTGGGGGGTTATCACTGGATCCCTCCCTCTGGTCACTGCCCCCCCCACTGCCTCTCGAGAGACTAATCAAGTCCTTCTTACTTCCGTTAGCTTACTTAACGCATGATTCAGTGTTGATTCAATGAGAGCACAATAAAGGATGACTGGATATTTTATTATTAATATTTGATTAACTGGAACCCTAAACTCTGGACTCATGGAGGATCTCCCACACATATGCACATAGGCCACAGAAATTTAACAAAACCAAACAGTGATTGTCAACCCAGACCACTGCCCTTGGGAGACTATAACTACATGTATTTGAATAAGTGTGGGTAATTAGTATCTGATTTTCCTTTTTCCCTCTACCCTCCCTGTTCCTTTCCCCTTGTATGTCATGTTTTTGGATAGTAAGCCTGTGGGAAGGAACTGCCTTATTAATTCCACATAAGCCACATTAATTCCATCTGGGAGTTTTGGACTGGCATACATTTTGGCATGAATGTAAAATGTATGTTAAAAAAACAATTCATAATAAGAAATAACTTCTAGAGGCAGTCATTATTTCACCTCAAAAAGAGGTACTCTCATCTTGCCTTGGTTACTCAACACCAAGTCACACAGCTCATTTTTTTGGTATAATCATAGGTCGCATAACCTTGGGGATAGAAGATGGTGGGGGCGTGGCTTTGATGGGCGTGGCTTCGAGATGTGGCTCTGCTTCTCATGAAGGGACCCCAGACTTCTAAATTTGCCACTGCCCTACTGGTTCTCTAGCAGCACTGCTTGAGTGCAAATGAGGACAGCGTCGCCAGAGGGGTAAGCTTGCCATTGCTAGAATCAGCAACATACGCATCACACAAAGACACAACTACAGGGACCTGACTGCTCGAGTTATACTTCCTCCTTGCCCGGGTACTAAAGGTCGAGATTTTTAAAATTTGGGGTTTTCTCCTTTAGTTTAGCAGAAGTTGAAAATGACTCGGTGTGATCTGAAACTGGTCTAAACTTCCTCCAGTGCAGGGGTATTGCCACACTGGTAGCTCGTGCTCCCCGTGGTGCGTCCTACCCACCCGAACAGCGTTTTCGGTTTGCTTGGGAGAGCATTCTGTAGTGTGGCGATGCCCCTTCGGTTAGAAAGGCAAGGCCATCTCGCAGCCTCACAGGGCAGTCCTGCACAGGTCCGCTCCAAAGGTAGTCCCGCTCCGAAGTTAGTCCCGCTGAGCTCGGCGGGGCCAACACACGCGCCCCGGGTGGCCGGCGAAGAGTCCGCGCGTGGCCCCGCTCGCCCTCCTCACGGCGGCGCCCGGTGCGCGCGCGGGGTCTCCCCTGCCAAGAGCCACGCCGGGGGCGCGGCGGAGCCAAGTTTGGAGATGCTCAGCCCGCACTACCTCCGGCAGGAGGAGCCCACTCGTAGCAGCAGCAGCAGCAGCAGCAGCAGCGACGGGGGAAGGAGGAGCCCCACAGGCTGACATCACGATTCCCCTCCTTCCCCTTCCCCGCCGGCCGCTGGTGAGCGCCCCTGCGCGTCGCTAGCGGTCCCACAGCTTCCCCGGCCTGCCGCCCAAGCGCGCAGCGATGATGCGCCCTCCGGTGCCCCGATCGGCGCACTGAACCTCGGCACAGGATGAAGGAGCTGCCCGGCACCTGGCTGCAGAAGGCTTGCCGCTTCCTCGTGTGCTTCTGCGTCCTCCACCTCCTGGTTGTCTTCGTCTACTATCTATCGGGGAACACGGTCAACTTCCAGGGGAGCCCGGAGCCGCGGCTCCGGGGCCTGATCCCCTTCCGCCGGGAGCCCGCGGCGCGACCCACCAACGCCTCCAAGTTGGATGCTGACTGCCCCGACCCCTCCCCTCTGCTGGGTAAGCGCCTGACTCCGGCGGCCTCTCGCACCACGCCGTCTCCAGGCTGTCCATGCGCTCTGGGGTGCGACCTTGCGCCTCCCCAGCGCTCGCCTTCGCTGGACCCACGCGGCTGGCCCATATCCCCCGGGCTCCTCGCCACCCTCTTCCTGACCCCGGTGCGCCCATCGGCCCTCCCCGCCTCCTCACTGCGGTGCCCACTTTCTTCCTCCACCCTTTCCTGTTCCTGTCGCCCCGCGGGCCCTTCTCTCTCTCTCTCTCGAAAGCCGCTAACCCAAACAGGACACCGCCGCCCCTCCTCAAGTTGCTTCCTCTCGCCTTCACTTTCCCTGACTTCCAAGCTTTCCCTTTGTATTGAGCGTAGCGGAACGCCTTCCAATAATAAACACGGGCAGCGCGCGTTTGGAGACGTACCTCTTGTAGACAAGAGGAGGGTGTGCAGCCAGGCAGGCGGCAGATGAAGTGGTTTCCGTGCTCCTTGTGATAAAGAAAGGGAAACCGCGCAGATTCTGCATCGTAAACAAAGGCCCCGATCCCCCTTAGGTGCACTTGGAGGCGAGAACCCCTGAACCAAGCGGGGTTTCCTCTGAGTAAAATGAACAGGTCGGTCTGTGTGGTTGCTCTCCCTTGCGCACTCTTGGGAATAAGCCCCAGTGAGTTCATTCGGACTCTGCCAAACGTTCGTGCATGGCATGCTCATGTCCCCGCGGGCAAGACCCGTTGAATTCAGTGGGACTTTAAGTGGCCGTGTGTAGTCGATTTTATTGTTTTGAGCGTGTGCTTTTCTGTTACAGCCTCCCTCTTTTCTTGCTCAAAAATCTCCACCCCCTTTCCGGAATAGCTTTTTATATCTGTAGATCTGCGTAACTGAATTGCCGCAAAAGTTCAGCTTTTGGCAACGTAGTGCAGTGTGAGAAGGGGAGAATCGCATGTGCCACGTTGCTGTGGAGGCCACTGGGGCAACTTTTCCCCAACAAGCACATTCCTGGTAACCCACTGGAGGTGCAGAGTCACTGGTTGTCTTTTTGAGTTTTTCACAGGGACAAAACTCTTCGGCACAGAACACTGTGAGCAGGAGGAGCAGTGCTTCTGCAAGTCTATTTTCTGATTCTAGCCCAGCGGTTTGAGGGAACCTTTTTGGCATGTAGCCAAAAGTGGACTGGCTGTTGCCACATGGCTGTGCATTGCTAGAATATTCCTGCGCACCCTTGCACTGGGGTCGCTTTGCGTCCAGTTTGTTGAAGCCAGAGAACCACCAGGCATGCAGGCCAAGCAAAGCTAGGTCTGTGCGTATGTTACAAACCATCGCTGGTTCTGACAATTGTGATTTGTCCCGTGTCATCTATTACTTCATTTTTGGTGCAATTTCTTTCATTGTGGACCTTTTGGCTAAAAAAGCAGTTTGTTAACTCTCCTTGGGAGTCGAAAAACTGCTTAGGGGCAGGTGAGTTGCACTGTACGATTTGTGTGAATTCAATATCCTAAGCTGCTTTTGAAATTTCATATTCAGAAAAAAAAATTAGTATGAAGGAGGTGCTGGAATAAAAAGAAGTCTGAAAAATTATCTGAGTTTTTGGGATTAGTTTTGGGAGTCTTGGAAATAATAGGACAAGCAAGTATTGTACTTTTAATGCATGTTCTATTCTAGGAATCCTAGAATCTTTATTCTGCTTCTTTTACTGTCTTCTATTTAATCTTTCTTTTGTTATTGTATGTGTGGCCAGAATGGTTCTTCCACAGTCTTTCCTTTAGCCAATAGTTTTGAAAAATTACCAGCTATCATCCAGATTGAAATACACTTTTCAGAAATTTCCTTGGGTTTGGATTTTTTCTTATGTGCATTTACCTATCTTCCTTTCTTTCTTAAAGCACAGTTCTCGACATGTCTACTCACAAGTAAATCTCATTGAATTCATTGGGGGAATTAGCTATAGGATTGCATCCCCAGAGATACTACTTTTCCTCTCAATTTTCTTAATATTCCATTAAATGATGCCGAACAATAGCAGTGTGGTTGGAATAGATGATCTCTAAAAGGAGAAGTTTAAAAAAAAGTACATGCTTCAACACACACGTACAGAGGCTTCTCACAAACTGCTTTGGAATACCTCTTCTGACTGGAACTACATGTTGCTGGACCTTTCCCTAGAAGTAGTAGTTGGTGTTTCGTTCTGCCAGTCTTTTTCCTGACTGTGGAGCAAGAGGGTAAAACCAAAGTGCTGCTATGGTAGCTCTTAAAAACTTGGCTGGATCTGACACACACATGTACAGGCGCACCTTGTTGTTGCTTCTGTCCCTTTATTTGTTGGAACATGATTTTATTATTTTAATAATGTGTTTGCATTTTATCAGCCACCCTGGGAGTAGTGATAGTGTAGAACTTATTCAGCTGCTAATGATTTGGGGTATTTGTTTTTTACATATCTTCCATTTATGCCCTGTTGTATCTTTTTATTCTGTCTTACTATGCACACACACAGAGAATCCAGCATCAAGGGATATATTTTATTACAGTTTTGCTCTGGTCTTCTGTTCAGAACTCAGTGTGCGATACTATACCCTCTTATCTGGTACAGAAACTCACCAAACTCATTCCTCATGGGTAGACATGTTTGTTTGTTTTCTTTATTGCATTTTTATGCTGTCCCATAGCCAGAAGGCTCTCTGGGTGGCTCACAACGCAATCATAACAATACAATAAAAATAGATAAGAATAATAGCTAAAACCATAATACATAGTGCAAAAAAGTGCTATATAAAATGCAACAGGAAGATAAGCACTGTATAATTAACAAGACAATAAAACAATAAACCAGCAGCAAGACCAATAAATCATAATCTTAAAACAAATACTAAATTTAAAAAGTCTTAACTTGGCGCCGAAAGCAAGATGATGTGGGAGCCAGTCGCACCTCCTTTGGAAGGGAATTCCAAAGGTGAGGTGCAACCACTGAGAATACCCTTTTTCAGAACGCCTGTTTCCTCTGTAGTTCCCCCTCACCTCATGGGGTGGGGGAGGTGTGAAGGAGGGCTTCCCTTCCCTTCCCTGAGTTCTCACATGAATAAATTCTAGAGATTGTTGTGAACAGATATGGGGTGTCTTAAAAAGGGACTGCAGCTTATCGGTGGCACTTTGGCCCACGTATTGCTACTCTGAGAGCGGCAGCTGGTGAAGGATCTGGGGCCGTGTGTCCTGTGTTTAACCTATTCAGAGAGGGGATGGCTGAACTGGGATGTTTGTGGCTACAGATATTCATCAGGATTTTAAAATTTTTATTTTGCAAACTGTCCTTGTAACATAAGATGAAGGGCAGTATAGAAATACTTTAATCTTTCCTTACACATTACATCATATATATTACATTTATTGTATTGTATTATTTTATATTTGAGATTTATATCCCACCTCTCTCACTGTTTCTGTCAATTTTCTAAAGAACTCAAAGCAGCTTACATCCTGCTCCTCCTGCTCCTCTCACTCTGACCCCCACAACAACAACCCTGTGAAGTAGGTTGGGCTGAGAATCTGTGACTGGTCCAAAGTCATCCAGTTGGCTCCATGGCCAGGTGGGGACTAGAACCCAGGTTTCCTGAGTCCCAGTTCCCAACAAATAAGAGCCAGTGTGGTGCAGTGTTAAAGTGTTGGATTGGGACCATGATGGGGGAACTGAGTTCTTGTCCCTGTTCAGCCATGAAGGCCACTGAGTGGCTTTGGGCTAGTCACCCACTTTTAGCCTAAGCTACCTCAAAGGGTTGTTGTGAGGAGGACCATGCAGCTACTTTGGATTCCTCACAGGAGGAAGAAAAATGGAATGCAAATGTGAAAAACCATGAAAACAATAAATATGTTCAGCGCTGTGGCAGCTGAAGCAAACTGCATTTTCTACTGATAGGCATGATGGGACTACGATTTCAGTGAGTCTAATATGCAAAATTACATATGCTCAGAATATATATCTATATTTGCATCTATTCATCAGTGGATATATATTTGTCAGAGACAGCAAACAATGTTTTGGTTTCTCTAAGACGAGGAACGTAGAAGCAGTGCATGGAAAGATTTTGGGTGACGAGCAGAGGAGTGCTGCAGTTCAGATCGGAAGAGTCCCCTCTTCAAAAATCCTTCATGTCCAGAGTCTAAAATTATATGGCTTTGCATGCAGAAGGACCCAGACAAAACCTTCTTCTGGTCTGTCCAGTTCAAGGATCTCAGATAACAGGGCTGGGAAGGACTTTTTCCCGTAATCTTGAGCAATTTCTCTCTGGGAACTCAAGCAATGCTAGCCTAGATAGGCTGATGGAAGAAAGCTGCTTCATATGGTAAACATCCAAACTGAATATAACAAAAATCTGCAAAAATAATGCAACATTATTTCAACGTTCTTTTCCATTTCCTTTTTGCTTAAAAAAAGTTGCATACTGGATTCTATGTTAAGCTTTCTTCTTTGGCATCCTGAGTCAACAGAAATGCCTTTAAGACCAGCACTTCTGCATTTATGCTGCTATGACTTCAGCAGTTTTCCTTTGATTCCTTTGAAACAGGAACTGCTTATCTGTTGCTCTGTACAAATACCATGTAGCCCAAAACAGCAGGAGCTGTGTATGGAGGCTTGTTCCGTGGATCGGTAGTTTATGATCCAGTCCTCTGGGTGCATAGCCTTCTCTCCATTTTTGGGCACAGCTGAATTTGAAAGTAGGTTGACAAAAAGCTGAATATTTTTCAAAAGATGCACATTGCCCTGTCAAAACCACATTTTGAAACAGGATGCACTATTGCACTCTGCTGAGCAGTTAGACCTTCTCTTCACTAAACAATTATTGTGTGCATGTAATTCCACTCAGTGGTAGTTTGTAGGAGCTGGATACAACCTCATTATTCTCCAGGACCTCTCTTATGTTTTGAAGTAATTTTCATAGCTTTTCTTCGAATAAAGAAAGTCAGGTATTAGTTCCTAATTTCAGGAAAAGGCTCTATGGCTATGTTCATGCAACAGAATAGC